GTTTCGTTGTGTAGTGTTGTGTGTAGTGTGTGTGTGTGTTGTGTGTAGTATATATATATATATATATGTGTGTGTGTGTGTGTGTATATGTGTGTGTGTGTGTATGTGTGTGTGTGTGTTGTGTACTCGTATACTTTGTATAGTGTTTATACTATATGCCAGATACGGTATACACACTCCATCTCCACTGCACGGTGGCCACATTCTCCCCTCCTGATCATGCCTAGACACTACCTCAGCTCATATCTACTCTCCTATCCGGACGTAGTTGCCAGTATACGAACCCTGCCACAGCAACACATTGTATATATTGTACCGTACTATACCTACATATCTGTCCAATGCAACGTGTTAGTGTCCTTCCCCTCTAAATACGTATCCCAATTGCCTACCATGGCTCCAGGGCGCTCTTTCCTGTGGTCATCACACTGGCCATGGCAGCAGCTGGTGCGTTAATACATGCTCTGCAGACTAATGAGTCCGATGAGGAATTGGGCGATTTGTACGAAGAGGCCCTAATACTAGATACGCTGGAGTACATTAACTCCATCTTCGACAAGTTTGCGCACAGTTAGCAACGGTTTGTTCTACTGGGCGGCGAATTAAACACGTTTAACATTTGCCTTGATGCAGTGTCTTATGTTAAATTAAAAGCGAACGTGGCGAGTAAATAGTGACCGTCAGTTCACATGAGGTACATCAGCCGTGCCCAGCATATTATTAAATCAAACAACGCAGAGTACTATAAGCTTAGTTCTGTGACCAAGTTGAGGGTATTAAATGATTGAGGAAGGTGATCTGAAAACAGCGAGGATGCCACTCTAATCTTTTATCAAAATGGTGGTCAGGTCTGTTCATATTCAGCAATTAGTTGTGCCTCCCAGCTGGCATCAATGGCGCTCAAGGTGGCTGATAAATACAAGCATGAGTATAAATTGATATGTACGGCAAGTTAGATGCAAAGCCCTTAATTGCTTAAGCTGTGGCAGGAGAGATTATTCGAAGTCTGAAAGCTTGCGCATAGTCGTCTTGGACCATATGATGAAAATATGAGACCGTTCTGAATTGCAAACCCGGAATGTCTTTATGCAACTTTTACGGTTGATTTTGCCTGGAAACCCGACCTTGGAGTCAAATGGTCAAATGTACATCAATCTAAAGTTATACTATTTTTTTATGAGATAAAGTCGGGAAATAAGAGTTCCAATCTAGGTTTTCCCGCTGTGTCTCGGAATCTATCAATACTAAGAAGCCGATCCGCGGTCAGTCTTTGTCGTTTTAGTCCGCGTATATTTTGCTCCTGAATATGAGGACAATATGTCGCACGATGGCTTACTAGATCTCATAACGAGTGTCTTCTTGATATTTTCTTTGACAGCCTTTTAAAAATCGAAGGTCTCTTCGGCGTGCCATCCTGTTTGTTCTCCGGCGCGATGTTCAGTGATAAAACGTCATAGTTGGGTAACACAGGTCGTTCCACTACGGACCACAACTGGCGGCCATGGATCATTGCGTATATTTTGTCGGCTTCAAGGTTTTCATTTTGCATGATGTCCTGGTAGCTGATTATTCGCACCATTTTGCATTTCTCACTTATGTAGTACGACGCATTATCCATTGTATTTATAATTTGACTGCCGATTCACATGCTATAATGTATATTTTTGTTTAAAATTCAAGTTATGAAGCGCTTATGATAGTAAACCGCCTATTTATTTGTTTCTGCGCACAAGACATATTTTTAATAAATAAAAGTATATATCGCTGGCTCTTATTTATTTTTAAATTAATAAATACTTCTTACTGTTTATATTAAAAAAATACTTTTTATTCTAAAAAAGGATTTGATACCAGCTCAACTTAAAAATAAATATAACCACAATATATATTTACAGAACAGGGTTGTTAAATGCTCTGGAGTCTGGACAAAAAAAGCACTGTTCAGACAGTCCAAAAGCCCGAACTGACCTTTCGGACAAGCATATTTTCGGACCAACCGGACCAGACAAACCCAAAAAAGAATCCGGACAGACCAAACTTGTCCGAAAATTTCTAACTAAATATTCTTGCATTGAGATAACAACCCAACCCTCCCTCTCCCACACCCCCTCTTCCCATGTATTTTGGGGCCCTATTAAACCCTAAACGAACCTTTTTAATGCCGAATGTATTGGTATCAGAATCTCAATCCACATGTTCTGAAAGTTTTTCCAACGAAGCTATGTCTGACCTCCGAAATCCGAATACATACAACCGAGTGGCCGACACAAGAGCCGGCATTCCGCATTCGGCAAGGACCAAATACTTGTGGCTTTGTTTTATATTTACGAGACTTGCGAGTTGCGACTGTGAAACAGAACTGTCCACAACTCCACACTCCACAGTAAATATTTATTTATACTTTTGGGGCATAGCCTCCTAAATTGTACAAGTTTGGGGGGGTTCATCATTTGTTTTGTTTTTTATTTTACTAGAAAAATTTAACAATGCAAAGAACAATGCAGTGAGTGATGACGATGAGTCGATGATATATTTTTTAAATACAACACATTGCAGTGATTGCACAATGCACACTCCGCAAAGTCACAGCCTCTATATTTAGACTATAGAGAAGGCGATAGAAAAGAAATTTTGTGCTCAGTATGTTATTCAATATACTTGGGCTTAAAAAAATCGCACACTCCTTGTTTTGCAGAAAATGTCTCGCGTGTCCTATTTTTCGCTGGGCCTTGTGAAAGGCGGCGCTAGAACGGCGCGAGACGAACGGTGTTACTGGAAACCGGAGTCACCACTAAATTCCTTCAGATCGGTCCCTGAGTCCCCAATGTCAGCAAATGCAATTTCTGAAGCGACAGCAAAAAAATAGGGGGCGAATTTGAAGGTAAGCCGTTCTAGATAATATAGTTCAGTAAAAAATCAGTACCGCAGAGTGAATGTGTGGATTAGATATATCATGGGTTAGTTATATCAGTATCACAGAGTGCATGTGTGGGTTAGTTATATCATTACCACCGAGTGCATGTGTGGGTTTGTTTTATCAGCACCACAGAGTGCATGTGTGAGTTAGTTATATCAGTACCACGGTGCGTGTGGACAAAGTACCTTAGGCGGATATTTGAGGACCGAACCTAGAGAACCTTGACGTGGGCGGCGGTATTGATGGCTTTAAAGGTGAAAGAGATGAATTCACCTACCCTATCACACTTCAATTCTGTAAGCGTGGCGAATTTGTCTTTGCCGAGGGCGGTATAAAACATGTCGAGCGTGTCGACAGCGTCGTCCTTGGACTTACAGGAGTAGGGAAAGAGCATGGTGCTTTTAGCATCGACGTACTTGATGTTGGAGGTGTAGCTGGTAGCCGAGGGAGGTAAGCCATTGTCAAGATCGACATGGAAGACAGTACAGACTGGTGGTCGGGTAGCAGGATCTTTAAGTGTGTTGGAGATGGGGCGGCGGCGCATTTTGCATGACACACAAGTGGTGCAAAAGCAAGCGTCAGGAGGGTGTGCGACGACGTCCTCGTGGGCAGTAAGGAGATTGGCTATTGGGAGAACGGCATGTTAAATATTGCCTAAGCGAGCAACATATATACATATATATATTGTAATGTGTGTACTTGATATCCCATATATTCTATAGATCTATATCTAATAATATATATATCTATATATTGATATATCTATACATTTATATATTTATGGAAATATATATATATATATATATTGCTTGTATATGCTACAGTGTATTATAGTATGTTATTGATTAATGTCTGATATATATTGCTTGTATATGTTACAGTATATTATAGTATATTGTTGATTAATATCTGATCGATGGACATAATAGATTGTAGTATGAAATCGTACTATAAGGTAATATGACATACCCCGGAATTTCTTTTTGTATTATAGTAATATGAACTATGCCTGAATTACTTTTGTATTATAGAATATATTGTCTATATCAGTTATTCTGTGTTATCTTATATACTTGCGTGTAGAGGTATTAACGTAATATCTGATGTCTATATCGTGACTATTTGAAACGTATGAGATGTCTAAAAATTCAATAATATATATTGAACTACACATGTATAGTATGTATGCCAGTCCTGTCAATGTATTGCTAACTACGTTCTCTACTATGTATGTAAATAAGAATGCTTTAGCATGCTTGGTTACTGAGATATCCGTGTTTGTACATGTTATATGTTAGTTATTGCATGTTTTAGCAAGTGTTAACGTTTATTGTAAATATTAAGCGTATATTACAAATCGTAAACTTTCTTTTCGAAAACGTTTTCTATATTTATAAAAAATGGGAATAAAGGGCCCATTACTAGGCCCGGATATTCTGTAAATATATACGGGAACGCATTAAACTGAAACTAGACTAAAATCAAACCGTTTATGAACCTTAACAACAATTGTTCGTTTCTCGTCCGCGTATGATGCGGGCGGTTACCAGTATGCTATATATAATGACTCTATTAATAGTGTACTGTCCTCTTTCTTCTATTAGCACAGGTTTGACAAAGCAAATAAATGCCCGTATCATCAGTAATTGATGGGTATAGGTGGCCTCTACATGCCGTACCTGACCAAGCCGTTCATATGTATTGGACTTTTATCTTCTCGTGTTTAAAATAAAGTTGTAAACTCTTGATATGTTAATGAATGTGTGAGTGTGGTGTGTTGTCCTCATGAGCATAAATCGCCCCGTGTCCTTTAAAGTGTAGTTCCGATAAGCTAAAGTGTTTGGCATTCACGTCGGTATTGTTCGCCTTCCCTGTGCCGCCTCTCTTCCCTAATTCACGTACGACATCCTTTTCACTCATGAGAGGTTGCAGTATCAACAACCATTCTCGAGCACGCGCATCTTTATTGGCGTGGTTTGTCAAGCGATCGTTCCCTTTCGGTAGGGAGATTCTACGATTAAAGCCATTGAGACAGTCCCGAATGCCGCAAGCACACTTAGGTATGAACTTCGTCTTCTTGTTCTCTTGTCCGCTACGCCTACCTCTTGGGCTCACCACATCACTCATAATGCACAATACATTAGCTTAAGCTAATAGTGCGTGTAATTAACTAAAAAATGCACAAAAATTTACAGTCAGAACCTGTGACGAGTATGACACAAAAAGAAATACAGTGCGGTACTAGTACCAATGTTTGTAAATTTTCGAATACTGCCATCTACTCTTTTCTTTTTTTAGAAGTCTCATATTATTTATTTCATTATTTTCACATAGTCTTCGTGTTTAATTTTCAGGCTATGAGAAATATCATTTTGTTTTTTCCCAAACAAAATAGTTATCACCACTCAGGGACAGGGACCCAGCCTCCCAGGGCAGACAGTCTCCCAGAGCCGCTGGGACGCCGACTCCTGACTATAATATTTATCAGAAAATCCCACGCCCGAGCGGTTACGCGGTATTTATCACCCATTCTTCTGAGGACACAACTTACGAAACTCTAACAAAAAAACCAGAAGTAAATACGATCTTGAACTCGACAGAAAAAGTAATGGCACAACATCCGCCCTTCAAGAAAAAAGCACACCCCAAACGATAAGTGAATGACACTAAGTCGAGCAGAGTGAGATCAGTTGCAAAATAGTCGTATGAAAAATGAATATATATG